GTATAATTCATATCATTCATATGACTAAAAATGCATATATTGTATATATTTTAAGTGTTTTTATTTATACATACATTTATTTGCTTTTATCTATCTAAAAGATTAACTAATTTTTATTTTATTTTATATTCTTACATAATTATATATTGTCATACTTGTGATTTTGTTTGTATAAAGACTTTTTGAGTTTGAATGTACATATAATGTAAATAAGTTTATTTAATTTGAAATGTATTTATGTTACAGAAATTGTATATAACAAAGAATGTATTTATAAATTCTTTAGCTTTGAGAGTAGGACAGTGTTTTTTGATGGGCCTCCAGCTCTCCATTCTCAAGCGTGCACAGAAATCCTCATCTGGCTTTTCTCTTCCAATTTGGGCCTGGCACCAACCTCAGTGTCAACTCAGACTAAGCAGACTTAAATTTGTAACCCCAAAACGGCCCATGAAGGACACTGGCCTATCAGAAACTCTTTCCTAACTAGGCATCTGATCAATACGATCTCATAAAAGTGTTTATTTATGGAAACAAATTGTGTGTTTTGGCATTGACTAATGTAACGAATGTCTCACCGACAGCTAAATGTCATTGGTTTTGTGAATGGGACAGGACTGATGTGAACTTGAGAGCGCTGAGTCATGTAATGATGGCATGACATCTCAGAACAGACACTCAAGAAGAAGAGCTTATGTTCTTAAAACGGTCTAATCTGCTCATCCAATTACAGCTGGCTGCTAATATAAGGTCAAAGACATTTATTTAGAGAACAAATGGCCAACCACTTAAACTGGGGACATTGTGCTGTTTTGATCCTCTGTGGACGTTCTGACTGATTTGCAGTGATTTTTGTTTCATTATTATTATTGTTGACATTATTGAGTATTGTTGCCATTGTGACCATTTTAGCACTTTGATGGCAGGAATGATTGTATTTTCAAAGCTAATTTTGAAAGAAGAGAGTATATCTTGTCTTGTAATTTATTTTAAATGTGTATTTATTTACTAAATAAAATATCCAAGCATGTAAAGAGACATAAGTGCTTACATGCACATGTACATACCTATTGAAATTAACACATAGTATAAATTTCTATTGATTTACTATAAGGCTTATAATTAAAAATTAGAGCTATAATTTCAAAGCTAAAAAAGCTTTTTGCATTTTTAGATTTTAAAAAAAATTATTTTAAGTTTTAAGCAAACATATTCATACTTTATTTGAAAAATATAGTGTGCACAAAATTATAACTGATAAGCCAAATATCAAAACTCCAAATCGATTGTTTTAAAGTAATGCAGTAGAGGGCAGCACTACACTAAAACCTCTAAAAAATAGCAATAACTTGAACTTTAAAAGTAGGCAGGGAACATTAGTCCACTAAAATCTGATTACAATCTACTAAACTGTTTATGTTTGCGTTTATGTAAGACAGAGAAGCATTAAATAAGAGTTGTTTATGAATGTCTGATCTTCCAGACAATCACCTGTGGTCTTTAGTCTATGTTGCAAATGCACTGACCCACTTTAGTTACTAAGCTCTGCAAATCCTAACCAGAACCAACCTGTCGAAATTACTTCTCCTTTATACATGCAACCACATACATTCATGCAGCAAATAAAGGGATACACAAACCTACATAAATGTGTGGCCAAACAATCTCTTTTCTTTGCACACACAGATTTGTTGTGTTAGGTTAATAGTGCAACTTTCACGAAGGCAATCTGATTATGTTTGCTTGCCGGCCATTAAAGAGAAGTGGTCTTTTGCCATCTTAGTAATTTAATAATTTAATAAATTTCATAATTTAAAAGTTTAGTGCAGAAGTATCGAATCGGTATCGATATCGACGATACTGCCTTGAAAAGTATCGGTATCGTATCGAAAACAAAATAAGGGGTATCGCCCATCCCTACATTGCACTTTATGTGTGCACTATAAGTGGCTGTGTATGCAAAAAGAGAGAATAAGGGTAATATCCTCAGCATGAGTCAGCGTGTGATCAGATTGTCTTATGTCTGTGACATGGGTGTGGCCTGGAAAGAAGATTTAGAAATGAACGGAGCACTTTCTCTCACGGCTCACTCAAAAAAAAAAAATCCTGCAGTTTCATACATTACGTTTAGAAGACAATATGAATGTTAAAGCAACTGTATGTACTTTTTTTTATTTATTTTTTTTACTTTGAAATATCAGTTTTAAAATCATTCCGATGCTACACTGAATTCTAATGAAGCGAAAGGCTTCCGTTTCTATCTCCAAACATGTTCTGGGTAATTTGGTGAGCGGGTACGAAATTCCGCGAAAAGAGCGGATTGCTTTACGGCAGCAACAAATACACGTGAACAGCTGTACTATAATTATGACAGTGATATGTTTACGACAGTAAACTTCACTCACTTCATCGTAGACGGCTTCATAAAGCCGTCTATACATACATACAGTTGCTTTAATACATGTAGCGCCAGTTGTTCTCTTCATTATCCAATAATTTGCCAGTGAATGAAATCAAATCCAATCCTTGTTTTTTTCCCCCTTGTTGAATACCTTGTTTTAAATTATGGAAATAAAATGAATGAATGCTGTCTATTTAACTTAACTGTGTTCTATTTTAATATATTGTAAAATGTAATTTATTCCTGTGATGACAATGCTGAATTTTCAGCAGCCATTATTCCAGTCTTCAGTGTCACATGATCCTTCAGAAATCAGCTGTTTATTATTATTCTTATTTATTTATTGTTATTGTTGTTGTTGTTGTTAATAATAATTATAATAATAATGATGATGATGAAAATGGTTGTGCTGCTTAATTTTTGTGGAAATACATTGTAATACATTTTTTTTAGCAAAAGAACATCCTGTATTTGAAATACGATATTTTTTGTAAGATTGTAAATGTCATACTGTCACTTTTGATCAATTTAATATATCCTTGCTGAATAAAAGTACTGATTTCTTTAAAAAAAAATAAAATACAATTTTGAACGGCAGTGTGTAGATGCACATGTATCTTTGGTTTAAAGCATGCAAAAACAGTCTTCACAACTCGCAGATGATTTCTGTGCACATCCTAAATCAGACATGACTCCTATCACACCAACACAGGTTCTGTTTATGTATTTATTGTAAACATGCCTGTATAAAGATGATGTCTGATGACCCTTCTGGTCTGTAGTTTCTGTGTGTGTGTGTGTGTGTGTGTGTGTTTTCTCAGGTAAGGTCAGCTTTTCTGTCTTGTTTGTTGTGTGTAAATTGTAATATTATAGTGTAAGCTGCTGTTTCCAAGCTATTCTTGAAGTCTGCCAGAACCCACAGTGAGAAACAGTCAACTTCATAAACAGCTTCATAACCCTCATAAATTCATAATCTCCTTAATGAAGGCCCCGAGGAGTCTTTATGCTCTGCATGTGTTAAAATTCTTTAAGCGGTTAACAACGAGTATATTATTTACAGTTAAAGCATGGGAACATTCACATCACATGAACACATTTATACATTATATATCCAGCTAATGTCTGATAAGCAACACTATTGATTAAACGGAAACCTTTACACTGAAAGTCAAGTGGACATGCTCCTTAGCTCTTCACAAAGAGTGTATTCTTCACCAGTGGTGGACAGTAACGAAGTAGGTAGTTTTACTTCGTTACTGTAGGCTACTTAAGTAAATATTTCAAGTATCAGTACTTTACTGGAGTAGTTTTAGTCAATAATGTTAGCTGATGCTAACTGTCTAGCTAACGAGTTTGCTGGTGCTAAATTGAGGTAATTTAAAAAAAATAGTCCAACTATTTTTATTCAACAACCTAGATAGATTACATTTTAGGGAAATATAAGTAGCCTATATAAAACTGCAAAATAAACATTCATCTATCGGTAATTTTTACTTAAGTACATAAAAAATCAAGTACTCGAGTAAAATTGAAAACTGAGTACTTTTACTTTTACTGGAGTAATATTTTATTATACGGATCTGTACTTTTAGTCAAGTACTTGATTTGTGTACTTCGTCCACCACTGTTCTTCACACTTTAAGTTTAAACATATTCAAAGTACCTATAGACAACACGTTTCTTTAATTTTGGGCACTTTTATTGTACAAAGAGTCAGTTGTTATGAAAAGTTTTTTTTTTTTAGATTTCAAAATAGTTTCTTTTTGTTAAATAGAGATTAAATTAAAAGTGCAATATTTGTTTAATATTTTTTGGTGAAGTGGTTTAAAACCCAAATTACAACTATCCCAGTGTCATCCCCAATAACATTTTATAAAAAATTAGTGTACTTGTTTACCAGTGTCAGTGAAGAGCTTGAGATTAAATTTAAATGTGACAAAACAAAGAAAAAAATCAAGGTTACTCTCACTTGAATAAAATATTTTTATTGTATAATTTCTAATCAAGCTGTAATTTAGACATTATGCAAAAAGTGTTATTTGTGTATTTAAGGTACATACTAGCAATGAAATTAAGACAAAAGGGTCAGGCATTTTATTTATAAAAGGAAAAATGTTCTGGAAATGATCTGGAAATTATTTTGTGCTGGAAATTATATTACCTAAAAAAAAAAAAAAAAACGAAAAGAAAATCATACTTAAGAAACATTCATGTGCCCTATAAAAGTACTTGCCATTCTTCAAATCTATGAATTTAATAGTTTTATTACAAAATATATTTACAAAATAAACTAATTTAAGTCTGCTAACAAAAATGAATAAAATTAAATCCAATGTGATTTTTTTAGTGCATGATTGAAATGAGTTCCCCTCAGGTTCACACAGGTTTGTAATGTAACCGCAGATGTAGTTGTACTTTTTTTTATTCAAATTTTTTTTTTCTTTTTTTGCCATTTGGTTTGATATTTTGCATTTAATCCTATGCCTACATTTTGAAAGGTGTTTTAAGTGTCCAATTTTTCGGGCTCACTAAAGTCTGCTTAGAATTAATTAAAAACTTCTACATTGACTGAACCTCTGGAGACATATTTGACTGTTCATGATAAGACCTCCTGTCCGGGTGGGAGGGTCCGAGGGGCGAACGCCACGCCCATGTTGCCATGACAACCAGCTGATCAGCTGCAATCTGATCTACGATGGGAGGAGCGGCGGTGCAGGTGCTCCAGCCAACCGTGTGCTCAGACGTTCATCAGAGGAAGACAAGTGGGCTGGAGGAAAGTGTGCGTGTGGGGGTATAGCGATCACAGACGGGTTATTGTTGTGATTTAACCGCTGCCTCCTCGCGATCTCCTCACCAAGAGTCTTCACTCGCATCCCATGGACTGGGAAAATCCCGTGCTTCTGAGATACAGCTGAACTCCGTGCGCGCATAATGTTCAAGAAAAGCAAGAGCAAAGTTCTGGTGGATGAAGCGTCAGAGGAGGACGACGTGTCGTGGCATCACGGGCACGCGAGGAAGGTAAGGTGGGATGTTGCCCGTGGGCTTCAAACTTGAGAGATCAAATGTGCTTGAGTCTCATCAAATGTGCTTGAGTCTCATAGTTTGGCTGGGTCACATTTCTGCCTGTACAGTGACTGTATTGTTTACAAAGCGGATGCGCCCCCGAGTGAGTCGTAAAGTAAGACTATAAAAACAGCAGCGAAATTATAAATATCATCCCCTATAATTAAATCCACTTATTAATGTGTCACCTTACTTTTGAAATCGCTCTTGTTTGACAGTTTAAAGTTCTGGAGGGTATTTCAGTATGAAGCATATGGATCATGCGATGAAGGGAACATTTAGAATATTTCGAATATGCAAGTATAGGAAAAAGACAATATTTATAATATGGAAGAATGAGAATGGGACGTGATATTAAAATAACTGAAAGAGTGAAAATAACTGTTTACGTGCTTTTCCAGTCATATATCTCGGTTATTTAAATTTCATTAATATTAACCAGATTTCTGTACCTAGATAAGGCCATATTTTGGTTTTATGAATCAGAATAGAAACAGCTGGCCTGTATTTTTGAGAATTTGGGGTCATGTTGTTAACACCTTATTTCAAATATACATCATAACTGAATGTTCCTTTGTTTTTGCTGATGTCATCGGCAAATAAACTCTCTGTTGACCAGTATGAATATGGAATGAGAGAAGCTTTTTTGGGTCATATTTCAGTTATTTAAATGGCATGATTGCCATACCCAGATTAGGCCATATTTTGGTTTTTAGAAATCAGAATAGAATAAGCTGTTATTGAGTATAATTCTCAAGTGTTGTCATGGAAAATCCTTATTTGGAATATACATAACTAAATGTTCCTTTTGTATTTCATCGACCATTAATAAACCCATATCTGTTGACCAATATGAGTATTGAATGAGAGAATAGGACAATGAAAATATATAATATTACAGCAGAATAAAATGAATATAATGCAATATTCCAGCAGAATAAGAGTCTACAAGAGTATGAGAATGGCAGAATGTGAGAATGGAGAACAGAAGTGCATTTTATTGGTTCCAGTTTTCCACTGGAGCTCAGATCAGTCATGAGAAGTGAGCCCATAGCATATAGTATCATACTTTTTTAAGTTTTATGTTCATGTTTCCCCGTTTCTCTGAGCCAGTGCTGCGATATGAATGATCATGTAATTTGATTTTTTTTTTCATGGATAAGATCATAAATTTATCTTAATTAAATGTTGCTCTGCTTTGGCTGAGTTTAAATACAGATTCATGGCATTTGCTGCCGTCCTCCCTTTCAGATCTAATGTTCTGTCAGCTGTTAGACTGCAGGAGTCAGATAAGGTCCCTACAGTGTAACAGCAGGAGACGGTTGCAGATAAGCTTTCTTTCTCTCCCCCTCACACTTTTTTTAAATGTATTTCAGAAGCTTGCACTAAAAAGTTCAAGATTCCCACTGCATTCTGTGGCTAGTGTGATATTAGACGGCCTTGACTAGGCCACAGTCATGTTCTTCCCAACAGAATCTGTTCCATAAACATGTTTTTGGTCTCAGAGATGAGAAAGAGAGCAGTCAAAAGCTCTGATATCCTTGTCTGATAGTGAAAAAACATTATGACAACTAGTCTAGCTGCTAGACCAAACTGTCTGATGGGTTTTGACCTCAAATCCTGATTTATAAATAGTATATGCAGCAATCAAATATGTTACCTGCTGCTTATTAAATTAATTGATGTGACAGTTGAGATGATGAGGTGAATGATTATCACATGTACCAAAAACACCATGGTATTTGAACTATAATTTTGCCATGGTATTGTCAGAAGTATCATGGCGTTCCAAGTAAATACCATGGTTTATTTTAAAGTACCATAGAATATAATATGAATTTTATACATATTTCAAAGTACCATAGCAAACATCTGTTACCATCTCTATACCATGATATCACTACAGTACTTTTTTGTAAGGAAAGACCTTCAAAGAACACGACGGTACTTTTATGGTGTTTTAATTATTGTAGCAATAGTGAAAAGAGAAAGGAGATTTTTAGCAATGGAATTGGAACAGAATGAATGCCCAAAAACACAGTATTACCATGATAGTACCATATGTCCAAAAATATGGAAATGTCTTGGTACTTTGGTGTTCACGGTACTGAATGTATAATATTGGCATTTACACATTTACAAAAATGTACTGAAAACCTTCAGTACCATGGTGAAAACCTGCCATGGTACTACCATATTTTGTTTGGATGTTTACCATGATTTTCTTAGAGTTACCCTGGAGTACCATCAAGTAAATACCATGGTACATGAATTTCATGACCATAATATATACCCGAGTACCATGGTATTACCTTTTAAATCCATCACTGTACCATGGTATTTTTTGGGCATGCAAGGTTCTTCAAAGAACACCATGGTACTATCATAGTACATGTCCACAAAAACAGTTATGACTAAGGTAAATATTCAAATAACCATTGTTGCCATATCCAGACATATTGTACCATACAAAAAAAAAAACATAAAAATACCATGGTACTTTGATATATACAATCTAAAAAATGCTGCGTTGTTTCAACCCAATTTTGGGTCAAATATGGACTATGGAAAATTTAACCCAATTGGGTGGGTTAGTCTATATTTGACCCAAAGTTGGGTTGCTACTTTGCAGTTACTACTGAATTGTTATTTATAAAATGACAAAAAAGTACAGAAAATTTTTTTAAGACCATAGTAGTCTCGAGTAGCCAGACCTTTTTTTGTAAGTTCATGCAAGGTACAGAGAATACCATGGTACTGTCACAGTACAAAAACACAGTATTACTGTGGTAAATGCCAAAATAACTATTATTTCCATTGTACCCTACCCAAAAGCATGGTAGTACGGTACCATGGTAATTTTGTCAGTGAAGCTTGTTGCTCATTACAGTAGTGGTACTACTAGGCTTGTGGATTGTATGTTGGAGAAGGAAAGGGATGGTCTTATGTTGTTCGGTCTACAAAGGGATATTTCAGTGAGATCCGCTTCCTTCAGCTGCTAGACAGTTTGTTCACCCAGAACTTGGTATGTAGAGCAGGAAGCCCGATGGATGAGGACAAGTGAACCTTCGCTTACATTTAGCTGCAGTTCTATTCAGGTCCCGTCAGGACCTCAAATTTTGTAGAAAGTTTCGATTTTCCTTTGATAAACAAGTTTTCATGGAGCTGAATGTCCTCCCTGTTCCAGCGGTTTATATCGAGCTATTTTATGAACATTGGTTTTATTCTAAACCATGTCAGGTTGCCAGTAGGTAAACATCATTATTCTGAGGTACAGTTTTGTTGATACTGTGGTTAGATCCTTCATAAATCAATTGAAGGCAGAATAAATGGACTCCTGTGACCCTGTGTTCTTCAATCATAAGCTTTTTTTCAGTAAAGTCAGGTCTGAGCTGTCCCTAAAATGCCACAATCATAAGAAATGACAGAGTCCAGAGGGTAAAGGACCTAAAATATCCAAAACATTCCTCTTTGCGTCTTAGCTTCACTCCTTCATTTATAAATGAGCACTCGAGAGAGTATTCGCACTGTAATCAGGCCAAACGCTTCGGTAAGATGGGGTGGAGGTGTGTGGTCGATGATACAAGGAGTGAGAGGCAGAGGGTTGTGGGTAGAGGGAGGAATGACATGGACATTGCAGAACAGAGGTTGATCTTTCTCTCTCTCTCTTCATAAGAATCATATTCTGCCTTCGAGTCATGTCAGAATAATAGTGTTTGCTCTGGATTTGCTCCTTAAACCATGTCTTTTTGTATTAGTCAGTAAAATTAATTCATGTTTTTTAAACAAGTCACCAAGGATGCATTTATTTGATTTAAAAAAAATATAGTAAAAGTAATATTCTAAAATATTATTACAATTTAAAATGACCGTTTTCTGCCTTAATATTAAATTGAATGGTCAGCATCATATTCTAAAATATTATTACAATTTAAAATGACCGTTTTCTGCCTTAATATATATTAAAATGAATTGTCAGCATCATTTACTCCAATGTCACATGATCATTCAGAAATCATTCTAATATGCTGATTTGGTGCTCACAAAACATTTCTTCTTATTATTATTATCAATGTCGAAAACAGTTGTGCTGCTAACCCTAACCCTACACCAATTCATGAGGGCGAAAGTCTTGTGTGACAGCTCCATTTCCCATAATTCTCTGAGGCAGAAAAAGCATCAGTTACACACCTAATGTGCATCCTTTGCTCTTCAGTTTGTTGCGCTAGTGCTAAAAGTCTCCTGCCTTTGTAGGGCAGTGAAAAAGTGAAGTAAGATCTTTCCAGGAGGCAGCACCAGTGCAGGTGGGGCAGGAAGGAAGGGGAAGAGGTCAGACCCTTAACAGGAAGTTGAGTGCCAGAGCCGTTATGATTGATCACCCAAAATAGACCGCATTAATGATTACATTAACACTAATAGATTGGATTACCACTTGAAACTAGTGGGATATCCATAAGAGGAGTGTTTTACTCCTTAACCATATTCATGTTACGACTCTTTTTGACAGAAAACAAGATCATTTTCAAGTCCCTCCTCAAATGTGCAAGACCTTGTTTATGTAGCATGCTAAAAATATCCCTCACATTTTTCTGTGTGTGTTGTGTTTTCGTATACATTAGCATGTGTTTAAGTGTGTGTGTGTTCTCATTGTTTTGTTCTCCTTGGCCTTTGCTTTTTAGGATAAAGACTCAGAGGGAACAGAGGAAGTTCTGAGCCCCTCAACAAAGGTAAACACACACCAACACACACATGCATAACGTTTTGTTGCTTCGAACAGAAATGCAAAAATGTGTTGACAGTGTCTGAAACAATACCATAGCAGCATTGTTAGGATGTGACACGAAAAGCCTGATATGAAATACTTTTTGAAATACTTTTTGAAATACTTTTGTCAGTTCTTTGTGAATGGATGCGATGAATGGCAAGATTCATAGTTTGATAGTACAGTGGAGGGTAGAAAGTGTGTGTGTGAGTGTGTTGTGCATAATCTGTTAAACATCTAGAGAGGATGTGACACATTCTTTCAGAACAATCTGGACAATAGCAAAAGTAGCAAGCATTCAGTGGTGTGCTTTCCTACAGTGGACTGCTGTTGTCATGTCATATTTTAAATGATCAAACAAATATCTGAACTGTTCTCTGACCAGTAGAATTAAACAGACTGTTTTTGGCCGCCTGTGTAATCGGGGGTTAACCTTTGTATTAATAACATGGGCAGCTGGTAAATGCGATAACAAAATAAAAAACACCATAGACTTTAGTCACAGTAGTGCCATATTTAATTTAAGACAGGAATGAAAATGAGGCTGTGAAGGATAGACGTACATCACGTTCAATGGATTATACTGCTATTTAACAACATACCAATTGTTCAGCTGACAAAACTTCTTTCCGAAAATAACTTTCAGTAGACAAGAACTCCACTAGCTGTTTTGTGAAGATTAAGTGATTTTGGACCTTTACACAGCACATGCTATAAAGACACTTTATACATTTATCCTTCATTTTTATCATTTTTATCCACATAAAATTTAGTATGGCATCTAACCTGACTAAGGTCTTTTAACAACCATTCAAAGCTACGGAAGTTCTAAGCGGCCATGCAATATTATTATTTTTTCCTTCTCGTTTTCTCGTTATAACGACTTAATTTTCTCGTGATATCGACATAACGAGTTGTTTTCTCGTTATAACGACTTAATTTTCTCGTTATCTCGACATAACGAAAGCTGTTTTCTCGTTATAACGACTTAATTTTCTCGTGATCTCGACATAACGAGAGTTGTTTTCTCGTTATAACGACTTAATTTTCTCATGATCTCGACATAACGGGAGTTGTTTTCTCGTTATCTCGACAAAGTTTAAAAAAAATTTTTTTTTTTACAATGATTATTTGATCTACTGTTGTTATAGTAACGACCTCAACTTTGACACGCATCTGATGGACAGATAAACCATGTGCTCTTACTGTAGCCTATGTCGTTAATTTTTTTTTTTTTTACATTTTCATATACTTACCCCTCAATAGGTTGTAATGTTTTAATTATTTCTGGTTGGTTTGGTTTGTCTTATGACCCTTTAAAGGGGTCATATGACGTTGCTAAAAAGAACATTATTTTGTGTATTTGGTGTAATGAAATGTGTTTATGCGGTTTAAGGTTCAAAAAACACAT